TTACTAATACTTAAAAGATGGCTTTATGAAAGTTTTTGTTCTAATGTTCTCGCTGGATCCACCAACAATCTCCTCACCTCGGGATACTTGTCAGCGAAGTGCGGAACGAAGCTGAGGAAAGTCTCGATGTGACCAGCCAAGTGCAAGTCGACCCATGACACTTTGCTACCAACCTGGAAAGAACACTTCAATTAACTTTTTACGACTTATAGAATACAGAACTCTAATCACTTGCACAATGGCACAATGGCATTCTCAAAAAGCTTCCACCCACCAAGAACCCGGATCCGTTCTCCTTGAGTTGCTTGGCGACCAATGGCAAGAATTTCTCCCTAGCCGGCTCCACCACATCCGCGTACAATTTCTCTTTGTCGCCTTGTCCAAAACCAGCAACAACGACAAAGTATGGCCGGAGCTCGTTGTTGTAATCGGCGAATTGATCAGCCCATGCGTCGATTTGAGCAGACTCCCAGTCATCCTTCCCAGCGAAACCTGAAAACATGAAAATGGTTAAAGCTATACAATGATCTTTATTGTTTTTCCAGTGTACTTTGAGTTAAAAAGTGTAAACGCATCCTTTCTGGTGCACTTAATCTCACATTTTTAGGAATAAACAGTCCCTCCATTTGTGCCGTGATTTACGAAAAAACTTTTCTCTATTTGCGCACCGGCTCTCTTTGTCTTATCTTATCAAATGTGGCTTTCCCAGCAAAAAATTCCACTATTTGACCATTAGATCACCAATTTCTTTTATAAAAGGAAAAATATAGTCTTAATTTAAATAGCTATGGATATGAATAATTTTTAATGTTCAACTTACCGAATTTCTTGGCCAAATAACGGTAGATGGCTCGGGATTGGGCGAGCGCTTTCCCATCCACCTCCAACACGGGCATTTGTCCGAATGGAGTCTCTAAAATGCAAGAATAGAAATTTTGATATTATTAGGTCAGTCAATAAGTAATGAGCCTTTCCTACATTTACAATTTTCCAAAAGCCAAACCATAGATCTTTCTGATATTTTAGTATGATACTTATCGAAGAGATTAACAATAACAAAGAGAACTATCGAAATATTGCTCAAAATTACCGTACTTGGCTTGAAATCGGGCCATTGCTCACGGGGTACTCGGTCGTCCTCGAAGTCGACGTTGGCGAGGGCGAAGAGTTGCCGGGCGGTCTCACCTGCAAAATTTTCGATAGAGCATTAAACTAAATATATCTGGATTTTAATACCCAACTATTTTAGCTAAAAATCCCATACCCAATCCACGAAGCGGGAAATAGGAGAGCTTGTAGTGAACCATCGTGTTCGACTTGCGGTAAATTGTTTTCTAAAATAATTTCATTAAAAAAGTAAAAAAAGGAAAAATTATGAACTTCTGAAAGACAAAATTCTCTAGAGGCTTCCCCGCAAATATTTTTGTTTGCTAATTGAAAATTCATGAGGGGAAAAGTGGCCGGGAATGGAAAATAATTAAAAAATAAAAACTTTTAGTTTTCAGAATATTTTAGGAACTTTGATGCAGGAAATTTCCCCAAAAACTGGGAATTTGTGCTTTGATTTGTTCGACGGCGAGTCAAAAAGTTGTTTACTTCGGTCAAGAGCGGCTTGGGCAATGAATGGGGAAACTGCAAGGGAAATGAGAAAGGAAGTTTCACCAAAAAAAAAATGCTGTTTTAAAAATAGAATTTGGTAAAATGGAAAAGTTGGATATTGGTTAGAAGAACAAAGTTCAATGAGATAACCTAGATTTTTCAAGAAAATCTGCTGACTGTAATTGCAACAGCAGATGTCAACGAGCAAAAACTGAGGTATGAAGCAAAGTGGTGGAAGTGGAAGTCTTTTTACCACATTGAATTATTCGAAACCTTTGCGGTGAGAGGAGATTATGTAGTGGAACTCTCGAAACACATGCAAATATCACAGAAAAACTGTAACCTAAAGTATACAGTTATGCTGCAAAACAAAATATCCACTTATTCTATATCTAAATGATTGTTTGGGTATATCAAAAATCTAAGCAAAGTTCTAGAGTCACTTAGGACGGAGTTGGGAAAGAGAATGCTGCTTATTGTTAGTTAAATGATCAATTTGGTTATGTCACGCAGTTAGTAACTAACTCTCTACCTAACACCTTTAGATTTACTAACCCTTTTCTAAAATGATTTGATACGAAACCAAAAACAAAGTAGCAAGATCGCGCCGTGGCAAATTAGTTAGATTTGCGTTTTAGTTAAAAGGAATTGGTCAAGTTAAGTTTATACAGCATGTGTGAACGGATTCAAAACAATGGAGTCGAAGGAGCCGAAAAGAAAACGAAACAAAACCGTATTAGAATTTTAAACAACAAATTATGGTCAAACAATAAGAAGGAGGGAACGAACGAGGGAGAGTGTACTTTAAAAACGCGCTACAAAAACATACTAGATTTTATGAAGGAAAGAAAACTTAGCCAGACTTGGCATAAAACCCGGACAAATTTTCCGATTCCATCATGGAATGACAACCGGAGAACATTGATGATCCCATAAGGGAATCCGAGGAAAAAATGAAAAGAACGGCAAAGAGGAACTTTTGTGCGGGGTACGGTAGTGCATCCACGCTTTAGAAAGCGTGCCGCGCCGCTTCCGCGCTAGTCCTTAAAACCGGAATCTAACTACGCGTCGAAAATCTAATAGGAATCTAACTGCGCGTCGAAATTTATAATTTATTCAAAAGTTTTATAGGTATGTAGATATGTTAAAAGATTATAGTTCTCATCGTCAGTTATGTTTACGTGAATGGAGTGAACGAGTGAATGGAGTTGGAAAGGACTTGATCAGTGATGGAGGACTACACAACTAAAATATCTACTAACTAAATATCTACTTCAGTCATAATTTAGCTATTTTATATCTATAATAGTTATGTTTAAAATCTAAGCATAGCTCTAGAGAGTCACTTATGTTTGCGGGTGAATGAAAGTTGGAGAAGTGAGGTGGGTCAGCGAGATGAGGATTCGGCAGTGTTGGGGAATGGCCTTCCCCTTTCCTCTTTATACTCAGGGCACACAAATAGGACAGAAGGCACAAAATGCACAAACTAGAGCTGCCTTTTTTCTCTTTTCTTGTCAATGCACCGCCCCTTTCTTCTCCCGTTTTTCCCATCTCTATAGGAGTTTTCTGAAAATTGTGCTCTGTTACATTCGTCATCATGTTTAATTCTTATGATGATAATGGTTACCTAGAAAGCGTTTCAAGCGGTTCTAGAACAATCTCTAGAGATATATTATATCTATAATAGATTAGATTAAGAAAACAAATGAAAAACAACAAATGAAGAAAAACAAATGAGATTAGTAAAACAAAAAGCTAGTCTACGAAAGATGTGTGCTTAGCCAGGCCAAGCGAAAAGTTAAATTTAAAATTGTACTTGTACTTGTATTTTTCTTTGAAAGACTAGGCCAAGACAAATCAAAACCTGATCAGAAGCTAGGTCCAGGAATTATTGTAGACCAGATTTGTCCAATTCTTCAGTAGAACCTAACCAGAAAGAAGCCAGGTAATAGCTCGGTCTGCTTATCCGAAAAAATACCTTCGGAACAACCCAGATCAATAGTACTATAGTTCTAAATTCTATAGTATCCATAGTATCTATAGTACTGGGAAAACTGAGAACTGTAAGTTGTAATTTCTAGAAATTTTCTTTTTCTGAAAATTTCTAGAGAAATTGACCTTTACTCTTTCAAAAGTTGTTGTCTCAAAATTCTAAAACTATTTTTTTTTTGCATTGTTGAGTACAATTCTCTCTCCAAACATCGCCCCTTTTTTAGCTGCTTTCAATTATTTTGTTGCCATGACAATGCATAAGCGAAAAAAATTGGGATATCAATTATTTTGTCTCTGAGCAAAGCCTCAAAAAAAAGTAAAAGATTTAACCAGAAAAGGGTAAAAATTGATTAGTTGCTTACAAATTCATTTTTGCTAACTCTACGCGTGAAAACTCAGCTTAACATCTACCAAAACCGCTCAAAAGCGTAGATTCTTGATCAATATCAATAGCTTGAATATTTTCCTCGTGAATTCACGTTGCAAACAAGATCGATGTCTTCACAAAATTGCCTAGAATATGGGGATTAAAGTGTGCTCCTCTTCACTCGAATAATGCGTCTAAAAGAGATCTATTGGAGAGAACTATCGTAGTCAAACTGTTTGTTTACATCTAATCAACAAGATTTTTATATCATTGATTGAGCCTTTTAATTCCTCATTGAGGTGTTACCATAATTCGTGGTCATCCTGTAGTTTTTATATCGTATTCTTACAAAACTGATTGACATCGATTGCTAAATCGCCTTTAATATCTGAATATAAGTATCTAACAAAATTCACAGGTGAAAACAAAAAGATAATCAAAGCGTTCAAATTCCACGAGTAAGAGCTATTGATGACTTTCAGGTGTCAAGCTAAAAAATAACTTTTATGATAGGATTGAGAAGCTTGCAAGTTGATTGTCATCCAACCAGAACTGAAGCATTTTTAAGCTTGTTTCAAGCATGCTTTTTCTAATAGACAACAAAACAAAAGAACTATTGTAAATGATTTAAACGCTGCCAACAAACTCGAGCAACAGCAACCACAACAAGGGGATCTTTTCTCTGGATTCGATTGTGACTCAACAATCGAATAAAATAAATACAGCAGAAAATCTTGAAGACTTTTATTACGGTAAAGAAAAAATAACGTAGACATAAAACTGAATACTTTAGATTGAATTGAAAGATGAACTACTAATGCTTTCAATTCAATTTTGTTTCTTTTATACACTCAAAAGATCAAATATTCATTTTCAGCTTATCGTCTTCATTTGTGAATTGTTTATTAATCAATTATAACAATTGAAAGTTCTATGAGCTTTTGAGGCTATTAAAAATGCAATCTTTCAAAAATATATAGCTTTGAAAGATATCAAAATATCTAAAAAAATATAACAATCAAATCATTTAAAAATTTCTTTAAAGTGCAGTTTGTGGGCGTTTCTCGATCCATTTCTTGATCTCCGGGATGTTGTGAATTCGTTTTTGATAAGCAAGCAGCTAAATTAAACATTAAAAACAATCATTTTAATATTTTAGCTTCTCTAGCATACCTCTGGATATTTATCTAAATAATCTGAAGAATTGAAGCCACCGGTGACAAAATACTCGAGATGATTCGCGAAAAGAGATCCGCCCACGAGAGTTTATCGCCAACCTGGAGGAGAATGGATTTGATGATATAGGTACTCAAATCAGATTCAACTTAAGTTCGAGATTGCTTAGCTTTGTTTTTAAGATGTTCCAAACAACTCTCACTAGGGAAAGGCATCAGCTTTGATGCATTGATTTGATGCACATCAGCTTTTGATGCATATCAGCTTTGATGCATTGTTTTGATGCACATCTTGTTTATTTAATAGAAATTTGAATGGGGTTCTGAATCCGCTTTTAGTTTTCCCCAATTGAGCTCTGTATCGCAAGATATCTGGCCTCAAAGTTTAAGACCCAAATCCGACAGGATTTCAGCTCAATTCCCCACACTGGATGATAGAATCATGAGCAATTTGGTATCATGAGCATCACTACAAAATTCAATCCGTTTAAATCAGATCAGAACCCAGCCAGGAATGGCTTACATGATCTGGCTTTGAAAAATGTTTTTTTGAACCAGTCCAGATAAGGTATTCGGTCAGAAGTTAGGCTAAACTGGGTACTGAACTGATCATCCTCGTTCTATGAAACGTTTTGGACCTGATCTGATCTGGAATAGCTAGCCCCGGTACTCTTACGGTAGACCAGTTCAGATTCAACCAGTACTAATTAAAAGGCTCACCAAAAACCCAGCTTCGTTCTCGCTAAGTCGTTTCACCACCAACGGGAAGAATTTCTCTAGCCGGTTCAACGACTTCTTTGTACAATTCCCTCTCTTTATCTCCTTCAGCCATCCCAGCAGCCACCGGAGATACGTTCTGATGTCAACGATGTAGTCGCTAAATTGATCACCCAAGCATCGATTTGAGCCGACTCAAAGTCATCTTTACCGGCATAACCTAAATCTTTGTTTTTTTTTTTTTAATATTTGGCTTTGTCACCGAATTTCCTTGCCCAAGTAACGATTAATTGCTCTTGATTGAGCCAATTTCTTCCCATCAACTTCCAGCCATGGAGCTGTGCCAAATGGGGCATCTAAACCGGGATCTAGTAGTTCGATATTATTGATATTGATATTGATATTGATATTGATAATGCGTTTTCTAAAACATGTCTATTTTCAAAAGCTATTGTAATCTTTAGCTTTATCCAATCCTACTTGGTTATGCTGTGACCATTCTTCTTTCGGAATCCGTACATCTTCGTAATCGACACCAGCCAATGCGAAGAGTTGACGGGGTGTTTCGGCTGAGAGAAATGGGCTTAAAGAAATTCATCACCCTATTTGCAGTTAGCTTAGCTTCCTTAGCCATTCAAATACTGTTTATTCAATATATTCAAAAATAAAAATCATCCTCATAAAAGTATGGTATAAATCAAACGTTTTTGCACGTCATATACCGTATTTTCTGTAATAGTAGTGCAGTCTGTAATAGTAGTGCAGTCTATAATAGTAGTGCAGGAGGGGGATTGAAAAAATAGTAATGCGCACTACTATTACAGAAAATACGGTATAGGTTATCAGCCATCCACCCATTTTCCCATTAGCAAGCTAACTTTGAGCTCAAGTTTCTTGGTGTTGGGTTGTCCAATTTATAAATTCTAGGTATTATTAGATGCGTTAATTCTTTTTTTGTCGATTGGTATAAAAAAATATTTCAACTGGAAAGCCCAACACCAAGAAATTTCAGCTCAAAGGTTATTGGAGTGATCAAAGGAAAAGGGGTGAGGCTCGTCTGTCCCCACAATCTCATTCACTTAAGTCATTTCATAAACTCATTGAAGATAAGCTAGATTTGTTTTGCGTAGTTTAGATTAAATAAAGTAGGTTAGATATACATAGAAAATAAGTTATAAAGGTAAAGTTATATTTTATGGTATTGGGTTGGTGAATTGAAAACTGCGGGACTTTGAATTAAAATTTATTGAACATAAAACCATGAATTCATTCCAAATAATTTCCATTATTATTGACGACTTCTGCCCATTTTACAAGCAATTTGCGGGTTCCTTTTTCGTAGTAGGATTTTTGGTTTGTGTGTGAGACAGGGTGTGAGACTCAAAATCGAGGACTGGAGATAATCCCAGTTTGAGCACTTTCTCTAAAAGAAACCCATTTTGGTGTCAATAGAGGATTGTAGAGAATCAAAATTAGGCTTATAGCCAAATTTGCAAAAGATACACCTAGTAGTTTCGCTTAAAATGCAAGTTTTGTCGAAAATTCGTAAATTTGGCATTTCTTGAAAACGAGTTTTTGAATCGTTCTGAAAATTTGGATATAAGCTTGATTTTTGATTTCTCTACAGCTTTTCCATTGACACCAAAATGGGTTTCTTTGAAGAAAGTGCTCAAACCTGTCACATATGACAATAGCCGGCGGTTTTCAATTCACCAACCCCAATATAATATCAACTCTCTTCACTCACCGGAAGGTCCTTTCGCGGGAAAATAAATAAGCTTGTAGTGAACCATATTTGACAAAAAAAAAGCTACTCAAAAATCTTTTAATTAGATTAATTAACTCAAGAATTCAAACAGTTTTGCAAAAATAGAACAAAAATATGTTTTGTTTAAGATGATCAATTGAGTAAGGCAAAAATTCATTTGAGAAACTTTCAAAGTAAACGACAAACGACTTGAGAGAAAACAGGGGCTCTTTATACAAAAACTCAAAAAGCCAGGCAAAAAGTAAACAAAAACCAATATTAATTTGTCATTTTTATGTGATTTCAGCAAAAAAAAAACTAGTCTTTTTTCCCTTTTTTTCGACCAGTAAACGGAAAGGAAATCGATTTTTGAGCCAAAAAAGAACCCAATGTTTGTTCACGGAAATTCTATGCGTTTTTGTGATTTGTGCGTCTGGATTTTTCTGGATATTTATTGCAATTTCTAGATGAAAAATACTATTTTCTCGTAGTAAAAACTCTTTTAAAATCAAATCACAGAATGCGGTCGATTCTCGATCCATTCGCGTAGCCGGGGGATTGAATGAACCCGCTTTTGATGGTACTCAATCTAAAAACAAAGCGTTTCTTTTTCTTTTACAATCTTTTAAACTATCTAATAGCTATTGATATTGAAATCAAGAAACTAGCTTTACAGGGTGCGTCATAATTATTGCAACAAGAGTTCAAAGACCGTTTTCCAAACAGTTTTCTTATTTTTTTTTGCCCCCTTTTTTGTTGTGTTGCGTTCTATCTTCTTTATTCTTGCCTAATTGCCTCCCGCTCACACGAAGAAGACGGTTCAGGACTGGTGTGTGGCCAACTTTCCCTCAGTGATCACCAAGGATGAATGGCCTCCAAACTTACCGGATCTCAATGTGATGGATTTTTCCATTTGGGCAATCTTAGAGGCTAATGTCTGCTCTTTGACCTTGAAGAAGTCTTTGACCTTGAAGAAGTCTTTGACCTTGAAGAAGTCTTTGACCTTGAAGAAGTCTTTGACCAAAGGATGGAAGGCGACTCCTCAAGATGACATTCGGGCCGCAGTGGAGGCATATCCGAACCGATTAAGGGCTGTTATCAAGGCAAAAGGCGGTCATATCGAATGATCTCTTGTTTCCTTATTTGTTACTGTTAAATAAAGCTATTTCTGTTTAAAAAGCTTCTTCCAGTGAAACTTCTTGGTGTGCAATGCCTTGAGTATCTTGTTGCAATAATTATGACGCACCCTGTATAATGTAATTCTAGAAATCTTTTAAAATAAACCTGTGGATATCTTCGAGGCGTAGTCGGGTCGAAACTCGGTAAGCGATGTACATGTGATCGGCAAGTTGAGTGTCAATCCATGACAATTTTGAGCCAACCTAGAGTTTAATTATTCAAACATTTCATAGTTATAAGCTTTCTTTTAAAATATTCTTGATTTATGCAAAAAAAATAGGAATCAAGGGCGCTAGAGAGCTCC